CAGACCTGTCAAATCCATCTGTTTGGGTCACAATTTGCCTTTAGCAAAAATTGATAAGAATTGGCAATTAACTAAAGTTTGCCCAGAAATGTCTTTAGAATTCAATCATGCAGGAGGAGAAATGGCATCTTCAGCAAATCCTTCACAGGAATTATTATAAATCACTGTCTTCCAGATTGCATTAACCGGTAATAGTCTGACGGTACCAACTACTGTATTACTATCTGGAAACAGACCTTGAATCTTAGTATTTTAGTCTCATTTGTTAATGGTTTCATTAAACACAATTATCTTAATGATTTGGCATTTAAACATGCTCTACAGAGGAAAATGGGAGGATAAAATCAACAACACGGTATTATGATGTTTTAATCTAACACATTCTCCTTTTACTTTAGCAGTCATAATACCATGCTGAATAATACTTATGTTTTACTACTATTTTTCCCCCAGGACTTGAATAATTCTTTGCATTTATGTCCTGTGATATTGGCACCTTGGAGAATCATTACAAAGATAACTTTAAAGATTCAGACGTCAACCGTGGAATGCTGTGTATGTTTGTTGGTCGAGTTTCTGTGTTTGCAATAAATCATAATCTTACTAAATCACATTTTCAATAAAAAATCTGCTCGTGCCAGTTGTGCTAGAGATTTTTCCTGGCTTGTTTATTCTGTTATGTGAAAGGAATATTTTCTTTATTGCGTTATGATTTATTGTGCTGTTAATCTTTCCCAATCATGTCGATGAGTACAGCACATTACTCTTATAGTATAATCGCATTAGGCCTCTATTGTTTGCTTCAAAAGACAGTGCTGTTTTGTGAGAGGTCAGCTTTCAGTGTTAATGGGGCCAATTACAGAACACTGAGCTTGCGGCAGATGAGATCGATGCCTAGGGAATTCTAACTGTGTAATATTAATAATGCGATTATTGAGAGACGCAGCTGGACTAAAAAAAAATAGAATATCACACAGCATACCAGCACCGCATTAAGGCAACCTACGATAATAATTAAAAGATTTTTCATTTATAATCTGTGAAATATTTCTCTCTCTTACTTTGTACGTTGCTCATTGACTTCGAAAAATGTTACGTGTCGTCGCACAAAGGCACAATACTCACTTGAGGAGATTGAACAAGGTGAATCCTTGTTTATGTAATGTGATGCATCATCAAATTGCTTTTATTTCCTGGTAAAATCCTGGTCCTGCATCTTATGAAAGATTAAGCTTCCTAGTTTATCAAGACTTATGCACTGACCATTTTTCAATGTAATAGAGTACCATGGTTAGGTATGAATTTGAAGTGGTTGGATAGTTTAAATTCAATCGTATTACACAATATAAGCAATTTGGGAATGCTATTTCACGAACAATAATCCCACTTGTGATGCCTGAAAGCAGCTAACCCATAAACTTGAATTCCACCATTCTGGATCAATTATCAGGGGACTTGACATCACTGGAAGAGGTGAAGCCATTGTTTAGTCTCATACAATATTCAGATACTCCTTATAGTCAAAAACTGCCATTTGAATTGTCTGTTTGCAGTAACATTGTTTTCGCATTACCTTACAAAGTGCGTGTTTTACTGAGAAGTAATAGATTCTCCTCCACTGGGCTGTAATAGATTTGTAAATGCCTTCGTTACTGTCTACGACTAGATTTTCATTGCAGTTTAGCATTTTTCAGTTAAAAAGCTGCATTCTGGATTCCATTCCAGTCCATGATCCTTACCGAGGAAAGGAACAGGGGATGGAATCTGGAATGTACATAAATCAATTGCTTAAAATTCAAAGCTGTCATTTTTTATCAGCCATGAACATCTGATAGATGGGTCTGAATAAACAAGCAAGCTTACTTAGTAGTCTATTCTCTCCATCAAACACACTCCTCCCAAACACAACATACAATCCTTTCATCATGGACATCATCCAAATCCATTTGATTTCTCGATGAAAAAAATATTTTGAAGATAAACTTTAGGAAGCTGTCTAATGAAGGTTTGCAAATTTATGGATATTTAACCACTGATCAATGAGTACAATCCCTTTATAGCAGTCGATGGTTTATGAAACTATTTTAATTTATCACTTTACAGCCTAATATTGAACAGTTTTTAGCTTCTAGCTTCTATGGGTGGCAATCAATATAAAATATTTTTTTTTATTTGCAAACTTTCTCCTTACTTCCCCAAAGATAAATTGAGTATTCATCCTATCTTCCATCATATATTATTTACCCTTCACTAGTTGCCTTCCATGACATGGAATATCTATGGTGCCAGCAGGTTAACATATACCATTCAAAGCTTCTTAAAATCCCTTCCTGATCCTGTGTTGCGCACAATCTTTAATTTTCTCTCTTTCATGATCCTAGTTATCTGCACCCTGTTGTTCTGCAGTCATTTTCCCGTCTTACCACCAATGGAAACTAAGTAAGAGTTGTTGGATATTTACCACTGGTTCAGAAATAAGGTGTCAGCACATCTGTGACCTAGTGATCTGTGTTCACATAACTTCCATAAAGCACTTTTACAGTTTAGGTAATTGAAATCACTTGATGAGATTATAGCCATTTGTAAATTGAATTAGATAATGTTTAGTCATGCATTGTTGGTTAGGGTACCACAGATTACACAACACTTGCAGATATGGTCAGTGCATCGAGGAACTTAAACAGCCTCGTTGTGTTGTGCAGCAAAGTATCTGTGGCCCCGATTTGCTTTACTTTTGGTGTTTCAACAACGTTAGCTAAATAATAATATAATAATAATAATCCTTCCATTTGATATACGTCTTATCACATCGTCGAGATGTCTCGAAGCACTTCACAGAATATACTGTAAAGTGTAGTGACTGTATATTTTAGAGACGAAATGGCTGTGTCCTGATGAAATGCTCTCCAATATCCTTCTCACTTGAGTAGGTGACCGTGTAAAGCTTAAGATGGTTAAGTTGAAGTGTGTAATTCCCTATGTTATGTACGGGATAATGAGATAAACTATTATTTGGTTTGGGATAGTTTTTGGCATCGTTAATGTCTGATCCAAAAGACGACAATACAAGTTTTGGGGCTCAAGATTGGGGCTTGAACCTACAACCTTCCGATCTAGAGGCAAGAGTCCTACCTATTAGTTTGAGTCTGAACAGATGTATGAGTCTGTTCTTAAGTCCACAACGCCCATTGGGGAGGACAAGTTTGCAGGGCTATGGGGATAGCGCGGGGGAGTGTGATTGATTTGGATAGCTCTTTTAAAAGAGCTGACACAGACACGGTGGGCCGAATGGCCTCCTTCTGTGCTGTATAATTCTATGATTCTATGATCAAGTTCGGGAGAGTCCAGTGTCTGTTACAAAAATGAAGAAAACTCTCCCAGGTACCAACCTTTCATGTCTTTTACACGAGGATGGCCCTAGTGAACTGACAAATGTAAAATCCATACTGTTTAAATGAATATCATATTCAAAGGTCATCTCTACCTTCATAGCTGTGGATAAGTAGAAAGGTCATTTTTTTTCCATGTTCTTTTGAATCGATACCTGTTTTAGGAAATAAGACAAATTTACGTGCTTCTCTGAATTTTGTATCGCTACTACTTTTTGTTTATGAATGACCACACAGAGTTTATTATAAATCACAAATCAGAAAACTATTGCATCTGAGCTTTTCCGATCACCACATGAGCGGATCTGGGTTCGATTCCCGACCAGGGCGAAATGTTAGACAAGTTTCCATTCTCCACATGCCTCTGTTTACATAGCAGTAAGTAGGAATTCGGTTGTTAGTCGATCAGTGGATCCCTTTTCCTGGGGTACTAATCCCCTTAAAAAAATTAAATAATAATTTGGTCACTCAGTCCACGATTGTGTGCAATTGGCTACAGCATTTTGTCCACAAAATACACAGTCAATTCACTTTACAGTATATTCTGTGAAGCGCTTTGAGTCGTCTCGAAGACATGATAAGTCGCTTTCTCATATACAAGGAGTATTATGAGGACTCTTAGGAATTTCTGTGTGGCACATAAGTGTAAATGTTTTTAAAGTGTAATGGGATTGTTAATATCTCAGCCAAAAGACAACAAACAGCATCACCCCAGAGCCTGTAGCCCCCAAACAGCTGGAAACCAATTGCACTTTCTGACACTGTTTTGCCCACTGCACACTTACACACACACACTTACACACACACACACACTTACAGGCAATTTAAAATGACTGGTGAGCTTTCATTGTTACCACCAATTGTTCCTTAACCACGATTTGGAAATGATCCAACCCATGTTATATGATTTCACCACTCAAACGTATTAGGACTGTTCTTAACTTGTGACAAACACGATACGTGAAGGGCTCTCAGGGCACTTACATGTGTGTCCATCCATCTGACGCTTTGCTGTGTGACTGCAGACACAGGAGTGAGTGCATATGTTGTTATTGTATTTGAAGTCAGGGTGGAAAGGAGATATAAGATTATATGGTTGTACAGTATTGTACATTGCATCTCTCCAATAATGTGGAGAGTTCTGTATGAAAGAAGCTATTTGTGTTGCTTGATGTCTGTCTGTCTGTCTGTCTTGTGTGTTTCTCTCTATAGGGACCAGGCAATGAGAGATGAGTTCTGCTAATTGCTTCTCTGCTGCATGTCTGCTATTGCATTAGCAGTGAAAAAAAGCTGTCATTTGTGCTGTTCAGTGGGACCCGGGGCAGAAACCTGCATTTAAATAACACAGCCACACATCTCAAACAGGCAGCCAGAGAGAGAGAGAGAGAGAGAGACCTGGTGATGAGCAAAAGGAGAGAGAGGGAGAGAGAGAGAGAGAGAGAGAAAGCAGCAACACTCAACGCAGATGCTGGCAAGTCCTGGAGTACAGGATCTCTCTGAATACCACAGCTGACTCCACACACAAACGTGGGAGGATGCAGACTGAATCCACTCCACTATCTTATCTATGTGCAAAAGTCTCCCTTCTGACAAACATGAGCTCTTTCATCTACGTGCCTGATTGAACAATTTTGCACATCCAGGTAAATCTGTGCAGTGGATGCATAAATAACAAGGGAGCACTCTTTAAATCGACTAGCAGTTTCTGTGTGTGTTTTTTTAAAGAAAAAACACAAGTGTTGTGTGTGTGGGGTGTGGGTGGGGGGGGTGGGTGGGGGGGTTGTGGGTGGGGGGTGCATTTGAGGCTGAAAGTTGACATTTTGTGCAGTGTGTCCTTCTAATAAGCTGTTTTTTCAGGATTTTTTCAAAAGTGTGTGTGTGTATATACATGTGTGTGTATGTATGTACATATCAAAATTGAGGTGGAAACTGAATATGTCTGAATTTCATCCCTGACAGGATCTCTCTTGGTTTAGCTGAGATATTTGAGCCTTTGTTGGGATCTTGTCTCAGTGCTTGATGTACAGGGGGAAAGTTTAAATGAAGGTAGCAGCAGAGGTGTAATTCTTGGCTGAATGCATCCTTGGAATTGCATGTTCCTGCGAAAATGGGATGGTTTTTTTTTAAATAGATGTGTTAATTTATTGTTAGATATCATGCTCATACCTGTGATTTATCAACCTGTTTGTCTGCTGCACTCAACCACCATTTATTTCGAGTTCCTTTTGAAACTTTTCACACATGTAACTGATTTTCCGAATTTTAAGATCAGAGGCATAGGATGTGGGCTTTAAATAGCTCTTCAGTAAAATATTGCATTATTATAATTGTTATTTAATAGGCTTCGAATTATGAAAAAAAAAAGTACTAGGCATTATTGTTTGAACATTCTGTCTTACAGCCCATCATCATGATACAGGAATAAGGGTGTCTCAACCATGGCAAAATGATAAGACAACTTGCAACAGCTAAAGTTGCATGTAGTTCTTTGCAAAGTGTTGTGTATATAGATGTGAAACTGCAGTTAAACACACGATGGCAAATAGTTGTGTGTTTTTGATGATCTGGAATAGTCTACACTTTACATTACAATATGTTGCTGGCACTAAATGGGATCTATAACAAAGGATACCTTTGGGAAGAGGTGGGGGGGGGGGGAGTGCTGGTTCAGTAATGTGTTGTACCTGTATTCTTCCTTGTTTGAAATAATGCCTTTTAATATGTGCCTTTTTTTTTCTCAGAGAGGAGATTGCAGCAGCTATGTAACATTTCAAATTATGGAGTGTTCCTGGAAAACTGTCTTTGTTCTGGTGTGTGCTTCCCTGGGGATCCAGTACACAGCCATCCGCTCCTTGAAAGCCACTATCAACTCTGATTGCCATGGGACACAGAGTGGGACACACTGCCAGCACAGCCACCTGAGAGGTAATGTGGATGCACTTTACATTGGCTCAGCAATGGGGCTTAACCTAACTGAATCTACAACCAGCACTCACTCACTTATTTGCCTCTCAAGTGCTGAAATCTGAAGCCCAAGTCTTTACACTAAATTCGTGGCACAGCTGTCCTCATTGAACTAAAGCTAAACTGCCCTGGTTTATAAGTTTGAGGGATCTATTTTCTATTGCAGTAAGTCAGAAAACACAGAGAGAGAGAAATACACGTTGCTCAGCATCTTACATGTGAAGAGCTCGCACATATAATAACTTGGAGTGCATTAATAGCACAGTAATGTGGTTGCAGGCAGGCTACAAGACAAGTAAAGGACAGTGTATGGTTATCAATGGAATGTGCATTTTATTCCACCCTTGAGAAATGTCTGAATATCTGGCAGTGTGAGTTATGTAGCACTAGTCCTTTTGTAAAATAAAAGGGAGATAAAATTGCCAACCATCTATATCCTGTATTTAACTATTACTATGCCATTTTTTCCTAAGAGATATCTCTGCCATTATATTCCCATCATTGTTTAACAATTGTGCTATTGGGATTTTTTTTTAAAAATGGTGTTTTATTATTTAACTGCTTTACACAGAGGGTGTTGATTGGGCCAGAAAATCTCACACGTTAATTGATCAGTCACCTTTTTTTGTGGGACTTTGCTCTTGTGAATGGTTACCTCACAAACAAGACATGCAGTCAGATGATAATTACTTCTGAAGGAGTTTCGATGAAGTAAGGCACATGTTTTAAAAAGATATGTTATTTTTCCTTAAATGGCAAAAGACTGCTGGATGAGGGACTAGAGGCAGATTTGAAAAAGGAACTGGATAGCCATTTTTACAGAGCAGGAGAGACAACAACAAATTACATTTGTATCGCGCCTTTCACTACAGGCACAATAGTGTATCATATGTTGCAGCAAGTGGTTCCTCTAGATGGACCACAAACGTCCTAACCAGTCATACACCTTATTGTATTCCTATTGACTGATTTCATTAACGACTGTACATTCTTTGCAAGTCTTGCTGTAGTAGGTCAGACACAAGTTTAAACATGTTAAAATATTTATACCAAACGGTTACTATAGACTGCATTCTTTAGAGCAAAGATGCACAACTATTCACACCAGGCTGAGGTAGGCATTTGTATGTTCCTCACTGTTTGGTAGAAAGTAGGGGTTTGATACAGAATTCTATTCCTGTTTCCTGATGTAAAAACCCTTTAACTACAACAACTTGCATTGATGCAGCGCCCCTCACACAGGGTAGAGACCGAGAGCGCTTGACAGTGGGGGAGCACAACTCCGAGCCGGGGGGAGGGGAAGGTGACCGTAGACACGGTCGAATAGGAAGGTCTTCAGGCCTGACCTGAAAATGGGGAAGGAAGGGGCAAGGCGGAGAGATAGAGGAAGAGTGTTCCAGAGTTCCGGGGCCTAGTGGCTAAATTTAATTTAAACAAGGCCAATCTCCAGTGACAGAAGAAGTGACTTTGGGGAGCAGTATGTGACAATTTGTTCTTGAGTTATAAATACTAACAAACACTCTGGGACTGTGCTCAGAGTGAAGGGCGCTTTATAAATACAAGTTATTGTTGACTTCTGCCAGAAATTGGCAGTATTTGATACTAACCCACGTAAACGCTATTTGTGACAGCCATTTTAAAAAAAAAGTTGACACTTATTGCACTTCAAAGTAACTCCTTTTGCCACTGGAGGTTGACTTAGTTCAAATCGAGATGACAACAAGCTGGGGAGAGAACTGTGAAATCAGAAGAAGTGTCAAAGGTCTTAGGAAGAGTGCTTGGTAGAATATGCACTTGGTCTAATGACTGTCAAATGATGGACAATATAGATGAATGCTAAGTACTGTATGTGTGAGGCACCTATACTACATGGATGGTACAGTACTTGTCAAAAGGAAAGCTGAAAGACACCAAGGGTTGTTAGCTGCCACACTGCTCATCATTGTCAAAGCAGTGTGAAATAACAATATTCAAGGCAAACGGGGTATAATGTTCAATTACTCCTGAAACCCCCTTGGTTTAGTGGGACAACAACAACAAAAATTACATTTGTATAGCGCCTTTCATGTCGAAAGGACATCCCAAGCTGTTGGACGGACAGAGTTTCAGACCTGAGCTGGGGGTTGGGATTGGGGAGGGTAGAGGGCAGTGGGTGGGGAGGGGGGGGAAGCAGGGTGATCAAAAACACGGTCGAAGAGGAGGGTCTTGAGATGGGTCTTGAAGGAGGCAGGTCAGGAGGCGAGGCCAAGGGACTGTAGGATGGAGTTCCAGAGGTTGGGGGCAGAGTGGCAGAAGGCCCGCCTGCCAATGGTGGGGCGGGTGAGGCGGGGGATGTGAAGTTTGAAATTGACGGGAGATACTTGAGAGGCTGCTGTATAGTGGTTATAAGTAGGAGCAATTTCATCAGCAAGGGCTTAAAGATATGGATAAAGAAATTATTATTAACCAGATATAAGTGTACATTCCTACACGGCCTTGTAACTTTACAATAGTGTTTCATTATTGTAAAGTTATAATATTCACTATTGTAATAGTGGTGCTAATGGATTTGGACAGTGTTGTAGTAATTTCACAGTTAGAATTCTTGCCATAATAGTTTTGTTTGTGTCAATGAATTGCATGTCCAACGGGCACAGGTTTCAGTTCATTGGCTGGTGGTTAGAACTGTGTGTCCAAACCTGTATAAGGTGTTTTATTTTTACATTCTGCTGATATACATTTGCCATTTGACTGGAATTATTCATCTGGTCCCAGCTTTCAACAAAAAATATGCATCCTTATATTTGGTATAGCGCCTCTCACTCATCTCACAGCATTTCACAGGATGTACTGTAAAATGTAGTGATTGCATATTTTATGGGCAAACACGAAAGCCAGCTGGCACACAGCATATAACCAATCAAAATGTAAACCCTGATACAAAGTTATGGTCCTATTCAGTTAATTAGTTTTGTTCATTGGAGCTGTCAATCTTACTAGAAGCTGCTACTCTTACACTGTCTTCTAACTTCACAATAGTTTTATTGGACCTGGACTGTTCTAGTAATGACAATTTTTTGCTAACATTTCTTGGTAGCCTATTTTTAGACGGTTGGTAATGATTCAAGCTGTGTCTCCAATCGGCTCTTCGGCTTGGGATACAATTCTGTATTAGGAAACTGGGTGGCTTTAATGGTGTAAATGAGTTAGCAAGCACTGCACTCCATCACACCTGGGAACTTTATGTTCAGCTTTATTGATGGGATGAAATGCTTACTTGTCTCAACCAACGAGAGCCTCAACCCAATTCAACCCATGGAGTCCTATAGCTCAGTGGTTAGAGCACTCGCTTTGCAAGCGAGAGACTTGGGTTCGATTCCCGGCAGGGCGTAAACCTTGGGCCAGTTTCGTTACTCCCCACGCCTGATAATAATCCCTTAAGAAAAAAAATAATAATAAATTGGTCACTTTAATCCATGACTGTTTGTGGGACGCTGCTGTGCGCAATTGGCTCCTGCGTTTCGCCCACAAAATATGCAGTCAACTCATTTTACAGTATATTCTGTGACGCGCTTTGAGACGTCTAGAAGATGTGAAAAGTGCTGTATCAAATGCAAGGATTATTATTATAATTCCTATGGATTCCTATTTCCAGTGCAAACCTACTACTGATACAGCACTGAATTGCTGTTCACTGAGAGATGGATAGTTAATGCAGAAAATTTCAATAGGGGGTGCTGGTTAGAACATATTGTAGCAGGAGCTGTGTTCTGCAGTTAAATTGCTCTATATTGTATGTGAGCTAAGAGTTCTTGATGTGGATACTGAGTGCTTGGATTGCTCTCACTGCTCATCTACCTACACATGAATATAATTAGGCGGACGGAGCTACTGTATTGAGATATGAAGAGCTAGTGCATTAAATTGTGGCAATTTATCCAGTCTCAATAGGAATGAGATCAGTTGTGTTTAAACGTAACTGCAGCTGAACTTCTCATTTCAACATACAGGATGTTAAGCTTGAATAAAGCCGAAAATATAGTATCTCAAAATATTTAGATGGGAGTTAAAATAAAAAAACTGCATTGTGTAGCTGACATGCTGTATGGATGACAGATATCTCCAAGAATAAAATGTAGTACATATTGTGTTATGATATAACAGTAAAAAGAAGGAAATGTTATGCTTTTAGTTATAGTTACTTTGAAAATCATACACTTCTAAATCAAAATGGGTGGGATCACACAGACTCAAATTATCTGGAGTAACCAGTCATTTTTTTTAATTGTAGTAATAATGATAATAATTCTTGCGTTTGATATAGTGCCTTATCCAGTCTTCGAGATGTCTCAAAGCGCTTCACAGAATATACTGTAAAGTAAATTGACTGTATATGTTATGGGAGAAACGTAATTGCAAGGAAAATTACTTATTTTCTTTCTCCCCTGAAGGTGATGATTGGCCCTGGGATAAGGTTCTACGAGCAATGGGAGTCCTTAGCCCACACCCAAGTAGCTATTCTTCATGACTGAGGTTAGACTGTGAATATCAGCAGACTACTGAACCATGCAGATATCACAGCTGAGCCTGAATCCATTTTCACCAGATATGTGCACTCGCTACAGTTCCTGGATAGCAATTAGGAATGAGAACTTTTTTTCTCTCTTTCTTTTTCTTACCCCCTACCGCCCTAAATCCTGGGCTAATTCTGCTACTCCTTATCCACAGCTCTGACTGAGATCAACAAATAGAGCAGCTCGAATTGAAGTTTATTCCTGCATGGCAGTTGTCTTGGGACATTTATATAGCGCCTTGGGATGTCCTCCTGACGTGAAAGGCAATATGCAAATGTAATTTGTTGTTGGTGGTCTGCAGCAGAGTTTTCTGGAAATGTTAATCTGACTGCAGTCTCTCTGCCTCTAAATTAAGCAATATCACACAGTGATAATAATAGTGAAATGTATTTATGATAAAAAAAACTTTTAAGTACAAAAGCAATAATTATATTTTAACATCCACCTAATGAAGATTTCTTGAAAAAAAATTACCCTGGTTATAGCTGCATTATCCAAATTTATAGAAACATTTGTGCATGAACGGAAGGACCTGGGATATGATTCCTGACCCAGCCTCGGGCTTTATGTTTTCAATAAAAACTAACTGGCAGCATAATTTGATTATTTCATTAACCCAATCTATTTATGCCTGTGCGGAATTGCTATAGAGTACATTGTGAAATTATCTTGGAATATTGCCTTCTACCAATAATTGCTGATAATTATAATTCTTTTTAACAAAAATTCCTGTTGTGTTGCATCTGCTTTCTGGATAATTGTGTTCAGAAAATGTCTTGCAGGTGTGAGCTGTATAATTTTCAATCTGAACAAACAACTAAAACGAGCACTGCAAACATTGCAATTGACGATTTTTTTTTCAAAAAGCAAGTAATTCAGTATTGCAAAGACAATTATTTCAAAGCATATTTATAGGTGATTTTATTTTCTATACAGGAAATTGTCTCATGAATACTATATTTGTATATAATAGTGCAAACCAGGAAATTATGCAACACCTAGCTTTACGATGTATTTATCTTTAAAATTAAAACTAGTTGGGAACATAATTTAGTGTTGTTAATCTTTCACCAGTCTTTATTATTACAGTAACTGAGTAGTTCTAAACACTAAGTGCTTCCTTGTTCGAGATTATTTGACATTTGGAGGTAAGTTTGGGAAAAACAAATAAAACAACAATGTTTTCAAATGCTTGCGTAACCTATGATGGAGGCTGGAGACCTGATTCAATTGAACACATAATTCAGTTAAACATACTAATTCAACGCAGTTATATAACTTTTATCTGTCCCTGTCCAAAGAATATTTTGCTTGAGCTGCCAGGGCTGCACACTGCAGAAGCTTAGTGAATCCACTTACTTACTAATTTATCTGGTGTTAAACATAATGAGATGGATTAATTGAGTTGCTTCAAATCTGTCAAACTGCTCCAATATTCTAACACAAGGAGGCCAGGGGTGAGCCAGTACAATTTTGAACATGAGGAAGTTAAGGATATCCAATATTCTACTGCAAATATTCATAATTTAGTTATTTTCAGGGGGTCAATCAGATGTCTGACAAGCAGAAACTCATCACCGTGCTTAAGAGTGTCCAAACTATTGAGTGTTCCATGTATAGTTGCTAGACCATACTACGCAGATTTCCTGTGAGCCCACGGCTACTGGGGATGCAGTTTGCTTCTGTCACAGTCTGGCTGACTTCCTGCACGTGAGACTGGGAATCTGACTGGTTGACTTTGATTGTGTCTAAGGCTGGAGCCATCATTGGTGATCATTGAGCAGGAAACCAGTCAGCCCTAACCAGAAGTGACAGCAACGGTAACCTGGTCCCAGTTCCAGTGACTGGTCTGCTCTTCCAAGCATTGCCACTGAGCCAGGCTGGCTGGCTGGTCAGTCATCAACAGTGAGTAACGCAGCAATGGACAAACAAGAACCTCAATTTCTCCTCTCCTTTTTCTACCTGCCTCCATTAAAGTGGCTGACTCTTGCTGGAGGTACAGCTTCACAAGCATCGACAGTCATCTGGTTATTATGGATGTTTTTTATATAGGAGCCAAGACAATGAGTGTCAGCAAGATATTCACCAAGGAAGGCATCACACCGGAGCCTGATTCCTTCGTTCTCAATCCAATATCTTCACGCATATGCTTTCTGGTGAGGAACATGGATTCTAAAGTACGGGAATTCTGTAACTTTCATAATATCAGTAACTTTCGAACCATCAGTAATAAGTCTGCTTCCTATTGATTAGTCACTCCATAAAACAAATTGGGGTGTGGAGAATCAATTGTAATTCTCCTCTTCAAAATATTTATTATGAGAAAATAGCAAAAACTTGCACTTATATAGCGCCCTCCACCCAGGGTAACATCTCAGAGCAATGTAGAGCGGTTCAGAATTCCATTCAGTCACTTTGAAATAGAAACAGAAGCTGTTATGCACTCAATAGAGACAAAACTGGAGAAAAAAAATCTTTAAATTGTTACGTCAGTACAATCAGTGAATGTTTAAAGGCAATGTGCTGTGTGAGGAGGCATCATAGGAAGAGACCATTGAGCCTAAATTGGTTAAATATTATTTTCAACAGTATCTTGTTCTCAGATTCCCTTTTTGATACGCAACCAATAAAAAAAGCATCAATTCTGATATTTTTTTTCCCCCTGCCCTATCATCATTTTAGTTGTAACTCTTAATAAATAGTGAGTGTACATTAGTGACACTGGTGGCAAAATGTCCTGGAGGGATTAATAATCACACAACTGGAAGATCAAGCCCTATGACTTTTAACTGTTGTTGTCAGATTTCTTACACTGTCTGAATCAATATATCCTTCAATCTGTGATGATATGATCTTTGAGCTTGTAGTGAAGATCAAATGAGGACTAAAATGTTAAATCCTAATTCTTTGCAACATAAGAAACAATGAAAAGATAAAATGTTTAGCGCCCAGTTCCACAGATCATATACAATGTACCAGATAAGGACTCTATTGATTCTCACTTAAAACTCTCACTTGGCCTCTATATACCCTCTACTTACTACATAACAACCAACCATCCCCAAGCATGTATTGATTGTAAGTACTCAGTCCATCTAATCTAGCCATCCCATCGCAACAGCATAACCCTGCTAGATGATCTCTTACTCTTTATTTGAACCTGAAAGTGCGTGGGATATCATAGTGAAGTCATTCACCAATTATTGCCTTCACGGCTGAATCGGGATTAAACGTGAAGCACTTCAATATCACTTCTTGATCATAAGATCTCTATTTTATTAACGTAGATGAATAACTCAAAACAAAGATCCACGTTTTGTACATTGTGCTAAAATTTACAGCACATCCTGTGAAGTGCTTTGAGATGTCTCGAAGTTATGTGATAAGGCGCTATATCAAATGCAAGGATTATTTATAATGTGATGAATAATGAAAGCAGATTTGGATTTTTATAGGAAAATGTGCCAGTAAATAGCACATGCAGTTTTAGCCAATAAAGGGCAAATGCAATTCAATGTAAAACAATTCATTAGGAAAATAAATGACTAAATATTAAAAATGGCAAACCAGACAACATGTACAATGTCTATAAAATGTTTACATATGCATAAAATATACACCAACTCATGGGCTAAAATGTGTCTGCAAAACATAGTCTCTGCAATTTACAGTGAATCCTGGGAAATGACCTCCTGACATGAACTATTCGATATCAAAAGTAAGTACAGTATGTATGGATAAGGTTGAGGACAGATGAACAAAAAAAAGCTGTTCAACAACAACAACAAGATTTCATTGTATAGCGCCTTTCACGTCGGGAGGACGTCCCAAGGCGCTATTCCTGAGGTTAGGCCAAAGAAATATTGATGAAATCGGTTATGGAATGGACAGGACAGCTTTTTGCAGTGTTGGGCATCACCTTCATAAAACACCACATAATATTGGAAGCCAGAATGTTGTTGGCTACAAAAAGTTTTGGTGTTTGTCAGCCCTGGTAAGCCCTTGAAAGAAATGCACTGGTAAAATACTGATTTTGTTCTGGAGGTGCACTCTACATATGAAGATACAATAGTCAGTGAATCCTCTATTGTAGATTGAGGCTTCCAAAACTTTATGCAGCAATCTGACAATACTGAGGGATCTCACAGAATAGTGGAATATGTGTCAGGAGAAGAAAAAGAGCAAAGTGTGAGGAAAGTTGATTGTATTAGCGACAGATGAAGTTCACCAATGCTCAGTAATTATCACTTTAAAATCGTAAATAATCACTTTAAAACCGTAAATAATTTTACATAGCATATATAACTGTAAAAAATCAAAATGTACATTATGTGGTTACCCCAGAACAGAACTTTGCCACTCATGTACTGCACGGTTTTATTAATTTCGAAACAGCAATGAATTGTGTTTATATAACGTCCGTCATGTCGGGAGGACGTTCTAAGGCACCAATTGACAGGCCATCTGGACATGGAGGATTCATTGAAAAAAGATGTTCATTGAGTTCTCCACGTACCTGCCGCCTGCTTTGCAGTGTGTGTCTTGTGATATGAGGCTTGATGTCTCCCTGGCCACTATTATCTTGTGTAAGTCTTCTTAAGTGTCCCTCTTTGGCCCTCAACAGGCACGACTCCTTGAACAATTGGTTCTGGTAAAGATTTACTCTGTGTCCGTGGTGGGAGGTGAATTTTTTGACAGGTGAAGCAATCTATTAATTTGCTTAACCAAGCGATCTTGTTACCATGGCAATGGGTCCTTCATGCATGAGCAACGACTTGGCCTCTCTCCCGCTGGCCTTGCTTCTGGTCTCAACAGTTCGCTCATCTCCCGCTCTCTGGTCTCGCAATGCTCACTGCGAGATGCGGAAACACTAGGTGAAGTAGCGCTTCATCTGACGAGCTACGACTACTCTGTGTTCATGGCCTCCTCTGCTGATCATAACAGGCTAATGCAGCACAAAAGGAGGTCATTCAGCCCATCATGTCTGTGCTGGCTCTTTCAAAGAGCTATTCAACTAGTCCCATTCCCCCGCCCTAAGTCATAGCCCTGCAAATTTTTCCTTTTCAAGTACCTATCCAATTCCCTTTTGAAAGCTACTATCGAATCTGCGTCCACCAACCTTCCAGGCAGTGCATTTCAGACTGTAACAACTCAGGGTAAAAAAAATTCTCCTTGTCTCCCCTCTGGTTCTGTTGCTTGTCCTCCTGTAAACTTAAATAGGCAGCAACAATGCAGGATAGCACTTCACCTCTTGTCTTTCAACATGATATAATGGCTTGACGAGATGTAGATAAAGTACACAAAACTGGGTAATCTTGAGCAAACTGTAACAGCAGCATTTATGCCCATTCTCCTAATATCTGGTCTGTGCTATGCAAAGTAATAGACATTGTTTAGCTTGTACATATTTATGAGTTGTTCCTTTCCATAAACCTATAATGTACTGATGAGGGCTCAATTACAACCTGCGTGTTTGAATTCCCAGTGAGTATGAGTACATGTGATGATAAAGGCAGACAAATTATTTGAAGGGAAGAAAAGTGCATGCATTAACTCCCCTCTGATTTACATATCTATCACAACGCAGCCCTTAAACACTAGCACCGCAGGAAACACTGAAGACCAATGACCTAAAATGTTGGACATCCTCACTGAGCACTTTGCATTAATGCAGTGCAGCAATAACTGATCAGACGTGGAGAAATTAACCCACCATTAGCAAAAATGCTGACATTCATCAGTCATTGCCTTTTAAAAGACTTAACAAGCTCAATTGGCATTTTAATTTTACTCCCTAAATTGTTTAATGATGGGTTCCGACACTGAGCAGAATAGGTCATACACATAATGAATTAGTTACTGGTGACCCTTTATTCTGGGTACTGGTTTACTCTAATCTGTTTGCTAAAGCAGATTCTTCCCCCTTAAAAAGGAGCATAGGATTGTACTATTTGCATCCCACATGTTGAGAAAAGACATAGAAAGATAAGAGTAAACGGGAAGTCTGGTAGAACGATTTTGCCCAATAAACCCATGGAATAACTTGCTTGGCAAAGGTACTAAAGTGAACATTATAAATGGACTCATGAGACAACTAATGGGCAGAAGTACTGGGGACTTTACATGTAGTGTTAGGCACTAATTGGATATCCCAGTATTTCAGACAAACAATATCTTCATAGAGAACGATATACAGCAAAGGACTCAGACAACAAGGGGCCAGGCTAATTAGGCAGGATGTTGTTTCTAATTTTCTTTCATTTTTGTTCACTTCTGTTTTGGTAAGGAATTAAATCATTTTATTACATTTATATGCAGAAAAGAATATATATTTTCTAAGTCTGCTTCTTTTTCTAATGCATATTGCAATTGACTCCCTTTATTTTGTTCTCTGCTGTTTTGTTTCCTCGGCATATTAACCTTTCTTTCCATAAAGTTACAGAGACCGAAAACTGGGGGGTGGGGGGAGAGTGACATAAAAGACCCTATATCAAATTATCATTAATGTTAAAAAGTTGCTTTAATTTCTGGCTGCATTTTAAGGCAGAATATCTTCTTGCGGTAAGACCTATACTTCTTGTGGTGTGTTATAATCTGTTTGCGGTTTGGTGAAGAATCAGGATGTTAACTTCTACAATAAAGATAATAGTTTGGGAGATTCATTTTTTATGCTTAAGACCCAATAACGTACTAGGTTGGAAGGCCATTTATTTATATAAGCATTTATTATTTCAACCGCTTGCTGGAGCCTCCTACGTCTGTCAGAAAAATCTTCCAGCAACAGTTTATTCCTGATAGGACTTTTCTTTTATCAGGAAGTCAGTCTTCTTGATGGCTGTCAGAATTGAAACAGAGAGTAAATTACTCAGGCCGCCTAGTTTCAGTATCCTGTAAAGAAATCACTGTGTATTTTGAAAAGCCGAGGCCACATATATTCTAAAGCTGAAACTAAGACAAGTGGAATTCCTCCCTCATTTGTAATGCATGAGGAGAAATTGAGCCTACTGGGAAAATCCCTGCTAGCACAGTCTGGCTGCCAAAGTGAAATGAGACATCATCATTTTCTCACCTTTAAGATGGCCCTTTAACACTTTCGGCATTCTTGCTTTACAGCTCTGGATTATTAATGAGTGATTAATGCTGTGGACTGCAGAATAGAGGGTGCAAGGTTAGCAAAACCCTTGTTTTTTAAAGAAACCATTTGCACTCAGTAGAAATTGGTGCATTACGGAAAAAATCATCTAATTTGGTCTTAAGTAAAACTGGCTGTTATCCAATTTGATCTTGCGTAAAGTTCTCTAGTTATTTTCACACAGCTTGCTCAGGTGGACATTAAAAATCCCATGATATCATTTAAAAAGAGAAGGGAGTTTCTTCCATAGTCCTAACCAACAATCCTTCAGATTAATTGGTCCCTTACCTTCTGGTCGTTTGTAGGACCTTGCCAGGTTTGCCTACAAAATTCGTCACTACACTTGACGGTAATTGCTTGTGAACTGCTTTGAGATGTTTTGATGTGATAGGCACTGTAGTCCTTCTTTATACTTCTTTTCATGGCGAATCCAATAAGCCTATTATAAGTGATCTGGAACTAGGAGTCGCAAGCATAGTGACTAAGTTTGCAGATGACACCCAGCGAATGAAGGTGGTACATTGCAAAGCTGAGCAAAATAGGTTACAGGAGGATTTGAACATACTTGGGAATTGGGCAGATCAGTGGCAGATGAAATTCAATGTGGAGAAATGTAAAGTACTTCACATGGGGACAAAAGATCCTGGAAGGGACTATTATTTGAACGGAAGAAAAATAATATGTATGGAAAATGAAAAGGACCCAGGGATCCTGATTGACAATAAATTGAAGCTCTCCCAACAACGCTCTGTGGCAGAGAGTAAAGGAAACCAGCTGTTGAGATGTATCAAAAGATCAATAGCAAGCCAGAATAGTGGGGTAATCCTGCCACTATTTAAATCATTAGTGAAGCCATGCTTAGAGTACTGTGTACAGTTCTGGTTGCCACAGTACAAAAAGGATATTGAAGAAATCGAGAAGATACAGAGGTGGGCAACCAAAATGATTGAGAGAATGGAGGGACTGGACTAAGAGGAGCGACTAAATAAATTGGTATGTTCACGCTGGAAAAGAGAAGATTGCAAGGTAACATGATTGCTGTCTTTATTACATGACAATATACATCATGACAAGCTGTTGTCCAGAATAGTAAAGCTAGAGGACACGGCCTGCGATTAAAGGCGGGTAAATTCAGAACGAATCTATGCAAACACTATTTCAGTGAGCGAATATTGAACCTGTGGAACAGGCTCCCGAGGGAGACAATTGAAGCAGGAAGTTATGATTCTTTCAAACACAGATTAGATAGTTTTCTTTGAGGAAATAACATTATGGGATATAGTACATAGGTTAGTTTGGGATAAATGTGCATAGGACCGCTAGGAAGGTGGAAGGTGAACTTAGTCTTTTCTTGTCTAGCATTTCTTATGTTCTTATATTAAACTCAGAGAATCAATAGTTCAGGGCACTTTATAAATTCATCTCATATTTTTAGGATGAAATGCAAAGAATTCCCATTTCTATTGCATCAATGTTTCATCAAATGGGGGGAAATCTGGATTTGGATCTTGATTTTTTTAAAAAAATACCTTTTACTATAAAAAGGGCCCCTTTGTGATGTTTGTGTCTCTGCCCATTAATCTTTATGGTGAAACTGAATCCGAATGAGTAGATTGAACAATGCAACTGGCAGAAAGATGGCCACAACTGCTTGGAGGAAGCACCTATTGAAACGTTCCACTGCAGAGGTAAGACTGTGCTGTCTATAGGTTTATTAATAGGTGCTTCTATTGCACTATTCAGAAAATGAATCTGAAAATTGTCCTACTAATGGTCCTAATAAATGTCTCCACATTCCTTGAGCTGGATTAGGACACCTTGAACTGATTAAATTGTGGGACATTCATTTTATCCGATCTTTGACAAAAAGTGGCTGAGGTCTGATTGACATGTTGGATCGACAATAAAAATCTTGCTGAACAATAAATCTACCAGTGATCTGCCTATGTTTTGTGCTTGGATCAGGAATTCTACATAGGTCTAACTGTTGAGGATTTACCTGAAGGACATTGACTCTCAAAAAGACAGCTGGAAGCAACCTTGTCACAGACATAGAATGCACTTGTATTATCTGCAATTATTCTTCAACTAAGTAAACACAAGGAATTCTTTGATATTTGATCACAAGAGGTTTGAATGAAGACCCTTCAGCCTATTTGATCTCTTTCTTCGAGAATACCCATCCTCCCATTACAGTATCAAGCTGATTCTTAAATCCAGTAATGCCTCAGTCATTCTTCATAGTAACACATTCCAGTCGTTAATTGCCCTCTGTGTCAGCCGGGTGTCTGACATCTACCGAAGCCCATCACCATGCTTGAGCGTTTCCAAACCAAGCTGAGATAAAAGGGCAAGGTTCACACCTGAAAGTGTCCTTTGCATTACCTAACCTTGCCTTATTGTTCTGCTGCTGAAAGTATTTCTTTTCTTGATCCCTTTTGAAATCTTACATATGTCCTTTAAGGTCCCCACAGAGATGGACTCGTTCATCTGCCAGTGAGCCTTCTCACCTCTTATTATTTTGCATACAATTCACTTCATTAAATGTGTGTGTGTTTTACAGTTGATAGTCTGGCTCAGTTGGAAGCCTACCTTCTTCTGGTTCAGAAAGCTGTGGTTCTAAGCATCATAGCAGGACCTGATCTTGCAATGTAAGTTCACACTCCAGTGATTTATTTGAGGTCCTTTCTGGTGTTTCATTTTAAAGATGAGTGGAGAGTCTCCTGGTATACTGTTCTATATTCCTCTCTCATTCAAATTCACCAGCAAAGATTAGCTATTCAGCTCATTGCTGTTTGTGAGACATTACAGGTAAAAATCACCTGCTGTGTTTGCCAACACAATATCAGTCAAAGGTTCTCACTGCATGAAGCGTGTTTGTTATGTATTGTTTTTGACACGATTTGACACTTGAAGGATTTTTATTTATTGTCATAACCAACCTTAGAATATTAATATCATGACTTTTTGTGCCGGTTTCATTGCAGAATTTCACCAATCACACTTGCATCAAAAAAACAAACTTCCAGAATTGCAATCTCCCCAAGGCGCAAGAGTACATTAGTGACATTGATTTCATAATGTGTCTTTTGTTATGCCAGTGCTAATATAAACAAATACCGCACTTTACTTACAAGAGGTGATTCTTCAAAGCTTGGTAAATTTCCAGACCTTGCCAGCAGGAGTTTACTTTGGAATCGTCCCATTGCAAGATTACCCCAAGTCCCCAAATTAATGAACTTGTGGAGAATGAGATGTCCTGTCCTTTCTTTGCAGGCAAATTTGAACAACTTTTGGAATATAATCTCTCCTGAAGATGACATGGATTTTCGATCAGAGGCTGATACCTGTAATATGGAAAGAAATGTTCACTTGTTTCTAAATTACAACATTTCTTTCTGACCATGGTCCTGTATCCCTGGCCAAAACTTGTGGTCAGTTCACCTCGAAATAATTACCCGAGCTTGGTGTGTTGGATGGCTGTTGCCTCTGGAGGTGGAATGAAGAATGATAAGGAGATGATTCACGCACCCTGACAACAGCACAGCCTTAAGGTCAGACATTCTCTCCAAATTCAGGTGATGTGGCAAGTGGAGTGTAAGTGCCACCAATCTATGTTCACCAATTCTTCCTCCTTATCATTAAATTGGACAGGAAACATTTGTTGCTCCTAACCAAACTTAAAATGTCAGTCCTTGAGAGTGTCGTACAGAATAATTTCCCCTGTACATGCTCTGTATCCCTCCCTTTGCTTCCCTGCGTCCCTTCCTCTACTTCTGAGAAGTAGAAAGCAATGGCATTTTAAAGAGCTGAAGCAGAAAGGCCAACTCTTTGTACTGTTGTACTTTTGTATCTCTAACCTTCCTGAGACAATCAGTGTGACAGTCGGATGAAATAACAATGTGATGGAGAGGACTGGTGCAAAATATAGATTTCATCCTTTGTGGCTGTCTGTGCTTTGCAATGGCTCCCAATAGGTTTTGTGCCTCATAAACCATGTCAAGAATGATTTCTATTGACTGAAGTACAGTCAATAAAACATTTTTCAAAATATTTCCAGGACAACTGCATTATTTTTAGAAAAAAGACTTTATGGTGTAGAACGCAGGACACGAGTAAAGCTATTACCCTGTATGTGACGCAAAGCATTATAAGTATTTTGGAGTTTTGTGCTTTGGGTGAACTATGCTTATTTATGCATCTAGCTGGAGTCCTGCACAAAACCACCTCCCTTCTGTCAGAGCAATTCTTAGTTGGCGACAAATACTTGATTGATAACTGTGTATGAGAATGGTGCTGAATGTTGCAGTTCCTATAATTAGAACTTTCTCTCTCTTTCTCTCTATAGATATATATATTTATAAAGCAAGAAGCTCAAGCCTGTCTGTAAAAATGATTTGTCTTCCATTCTAATCGCATTTGATCCACAAAGTCATTTTTTCGCAGGAGGACAAAGGGTTTCAGTGGTTCACCTCCTTCCGTCAACAAAGGCTATGTTGGAAATGAATGGGTTTATCTGATGTACAGCATATTTTTGTGCTATACTTGTCTATGAAGCTTGTGCATGAATCATTAACCTACTTCTTCCCTCCTGAGCATCGGAAACTCGAGGTAACCCAGAACAACTCAAGATAACCTGGAACAATGGGCAAGAAAAAACCTTCACGATCACAGACTCCCTACTCCCTCTGTCGCTCGACATTATTTACAGAGTAACGATCCCTACATTCAGTTCATATTTCATCTTTTTTTTAAAAAACGAAGCAAAGTAAAACATAATTGTGAACGTCAAAATTATGAAGTGAAAATGAAATAAAAGTGCAATAAAAAACTAAAATCGAAAAACAGCCTCAGTGAACTGCAACTTTCATGTGGCCTTTTCTACGATATTTTCCTCCTATCCGGTCAGATTTCCACTGAATTATCCTCCTGTCTGGTCATATTTCTTTATTAAGTGCACTAACTAATGACCTTGTTAACTGCTCATTATAAGGTAATCCAGTTCTTTCAGCTTCTTTCCCTGATATATTACAAAGTACAGAGGCAAGGGGCTATTCTGTGGAGAATTGTGACTTATCCATATTGCCTCATTGGGCAGTTTTTTTTCCCTCCCGTTCTTTTCTTTCCTGTCAATGCTCAGTTGAGTTAAAATCCTACTCTAAATCTTTAGAGAGCTGTGTGGAGGTAAGTAACAGGAGATGGAAAATCCTGCTTCCATGCAAGGGATTGAACGGGAGTCAGAGAGGCTAACTGGTTGAGAACAAATGGGCAACTTGGAATCAGGTTTGTTAAGTCCTTCCAGTATCTGATCAGGTGTCATCAGAACTGTACGGTTTCGTCCACAGAATACAGTCAATGCACTTTACAGTATATTCTGTGAAGCGCTTTGGGACGTCTCAAAACTTGATAAAGTGCTGTATCCCAAATGCAAGGATTATTATTATTATTATTACTATTATTTACCCTGGCTGTTTGTAGGAAATCGCTGTGTGCTAATTGGATGCCATGTTTGCCAATAAAATACACAATCACTACATTTTACAGTAAATCCTGTGTAGAGCTTTGAGACTTCCTCCTTCCTCCTGAAGGTGTTGTATCAAACACAAGGAATATTATTTAATAATAATCTCTTTCCTGAAAGCAGATGACATTGAAGAGTATTTTCGCATTAGAGGGATTTGCTTCCGCTTTCCTTAAATAAGGATTCCTGTTTGAAATCTCAAAGGTTTAAAATCAAATTATTTAATGTTCCCTTTTCCCCTATTACTGTATTTGATCACAGTGTGTGCAACTTTTTTTCTTTTTCGTTACCTGCACCACCAGTCTGAATAAGCAGAGATAAAATGTGGGTTGAATCAATAGATCTTCACAGGAATTGTAAAAGCGAACTAGAAAATCTGAAAACGCACAAGTACATTGTTAGTTGGTTATCATTAAACACATCATGCACTGCGTAAACCATTTAGTCGTTCAAGTGATTAATGAATGAATTGTAAAACACAGTTCCAGGGAATGTTCTGGGAAGACTCGTACAGAACGTCAATGTTTATTACGTTCTCGAGTGTACAGTTATAAAGCAATGACTACATAATGAAGCATTTTACAGTATGTTTCTGTTTTGTTCTTTGCGATACAGAAGCCAACAAGGGATCCACATGCTCAGGCATGTCACACGCACATAGAGAGCTGCTAAATCAAGAGCAAATCCACGACAGAAAGCACATCCTTATTTTTGCAACCACCAGGAGCGGATCATCATTTATGGGACAGCTATTCAATCAACATCCCGGTATTTTCTACCTGTTTGAGCCCCTCTACCACGTGCAACAAGTCTTCACCAATGCCAGTGGCAGGATCAGAAACGCTCTGGATAGGCGAGCGCTCCTTGGGGCACACAGGGATTTGCTTAGCAACCTGTATGACTGTGATCTGAATTTCTTAGAGAATTACATGAAGCCGATGCCCAAGGACCATGAGACCACCATGTTTTTCCGAAGGGGGGCCAGCAATGCGCTGTGCGAACCGCCAGTATGTGCTTCGTACTGGGACTCAAGGGAAGTCGAGGAACACCTTTGCGCTAGAAAGTGCAAGTCGCTGAACCTCACTCTGGCATCGCAGGCTTGTCAGAAGCGATCGCACGTGGCCATCAAAACGGTTAGAATTCCCGAAATCAAAGATCTTCGGTTGCTCACGGAGGATCCCAGGCTAAATCTGAAAATCATCCACCTTGTCCGGGATCCCAGGGGGATACTTACATCAAGGATGGGAACTTTCACAGATCATTTCAGGTCGTGGAAAATCTGGAACGCTACAGGCCGCAAACCGCACAGTGTGGATCTTTCTCAAATCACAATGACCTGCAAAGATCTCTCCAACTCAGCCGAGACTGGGCTCAGCAGACCTGCTTGGCTAAAGGGCAAATACATGCTTGTGAGGTATGAAGATCTGGCCAGAGAACCCTTTAAAAAAGCGAAAGAAATCTATAACTTCATTGGCCTGGATATAGATAGTAACGTTAAGAAGTGGTTACTCCACAACACCAATGGAAGTAGCACTGCCACGGGAAATTACAAATATACCACGACAAGGAACTCAACAGCGACAGCAGAGAGATGGAGATTAAATCTCTCTTTTGATATTGTTCAAATGGTCCAAAACCTGTGTAATGACACACTAACCCAACTTGGCTACAGGCAGGTAGATTCAGTGAAAGAATTGCGGAATGTCTCTTATAGTTTAGTTGAATCCAGGACATTTGTGCCATTCCTGTAGTTCAATCCTTTATAGGATCAGAAAACCAATTTTTCTCCGAGGCAGCATTTAAAGTGTTTGGAAGACATGGGACATAAAGAGGTTGGAACATAATCAAGAATTAGTGTTTCCTTTCTCAACCTTTTGTTCTTAAAGGATTGGTTTATTTGATCATATTTTTAATTCTGCATATTTCAGTTGATATAATTGTTTCACATCCTGGCAGAATGGACCGTCACCACTTAAGTTATAGTTTATGTGAGAGATTCTGAGCAATGTAAATTATAGACTTCAGCAACTGTTATCACCTTTATCCATGAAGTAACATTGACAAGTTTATCTGACTGTTTTTTTTAATTCTAAAAGTAGTATTAAATATAATGTTTCTGTGTTTCTCATAATAATAGTATTGAAGTTCTCACTAATAATTAGTGGAGAAAACAATGTAAAGTCTAGCTGATTGACTGCCTGAGCGCTAGTTCAATACCTATGAATGGGTACCGTTGCACTGTATAAGCTGTGGCTAATGAAAGTCATAGTGCGAATTAATTTTTAAAATAAATGTAAAGTAGTGAAACCTGTAGGCTAAACCATGACTGGAACTGTTAATTGATCTGTCAGCTTTGCTTGCATAAATGGACAGTGGATGACTTAAATGGAAGTATGAATAGACTGCATGTTTGCCTTCAAGGCTACTCAGTCCAATAACCTCAAAGTCATAACTCACTGAGCGTTAGATAACATTGGATATAACCTGGCTCTCGTTAATTAATAATTGTGGTCAGGAAAATGCTTGCACTTTGCTAGCAATAGTGGTAAATTAGCATGCTTTCACAGAGACTCTAGGATATTGGGTAATCCACAGTTATACGATTCAATGCAGTATTTAGTAAGAGTTAAACCATCAGATCAGAGTTAGCCTGCTGGCTACATTGCTCTGGGCTTAATCCAAGCAGAGTTCTCTGAATGTGCAACTAAGAGCACTACTGTTTTTAATATTATGATTCCTGGGAACACTGCTGACTCTCTGGTAACATGCAAAATCTTAAGCTCAGTCAAACAGAACGCCCTTAAACGTTTGCGTAGCATTTTTTAATGTAATGTAAATTATACAGCATTGGTATTGAGCGCAGGCAGACTGGAGTTATATTGCAACCTTTGTGAACCAGCAGGAGGGGAATAGTATTACACCACTTGTCTGAATTGGGTTCGCAGCTCCTGAAAAAACAGTTGCACCACCAAATCTGCATCAATTCAATGCAAAAGAACATATTGATAGGACATAAATTGTGCAAAATAACTACAGAATTACACAGATCAAACTGCTGCATTTATATAGGTATGTTTAGGAAAGTTTTTCTTCCACTTTCCATCCAAATACAAACTTTGATGAGTGCGTGGAACCAAGAGATAGAAGTTGGACAAAATGCAAGTGATTGAGTGAGGGTGGGCAGATGTACTTGTAGAGGTGAAAGTGCCGTGAAAGAGAATGCTTCCGTTTATATTCAAGCACTCTCCAGTAAATTCAACGTTGCATCGCAATGCGAAACTCTGAGCCACATTGTCCCTCAATTCTAAACTCTGATCACAGAGCTTGCTATTTTACCAGTGTGAAATTGCCTTTTTGCACATACTTCATCCTTTTGACCTTTCTGTGCAAACCCCCTGAATTGATGGCAATGATCAGAGCCATTTTGTGATGTAGACTCGTGTCCAAAGAGAACGCGAATGATCATGTCAAGTGCAATTCAATGAGGTCTCCTAACAGGCAATGGATAAGAAAATACTTGAATGCCAGACTCCATCTCTGGTGGTAACATAGGGTGCAATGCGCCACTCTGTTTCTCTGCTGTGCCTCAAGTAGTTATGCCATCAGTTCTCTACTATTAACATGCTTTATGGTAATTTCATTCGCAGATGCAAAAGCACTGCGAATACAATCCATTACAGTTTGCAGAAGCCATTTGCTCAGTGCAGTTTCAGCACCACTTTATCTTGTGTAAAGATACGACAGAGCTCTTTAGTTCAGATTTCTTCACAAGTGATCCAAATAATCTTACTTAACCTGACATCAGACATTTTCTTCATTATTTTTCACACCGCTCACTGTTTTCCAGCAACATTTAGCTCTATTGAAAATTGATTTATTGTGTGTGTGTGTGTGTGCGTGCTTTTATAGAAAATTGTAAAATTAAACCAATGCTTGTACATCTCCCCTGACCTCTTATCCTAAAGTGGAAATGATTCATACATACTGTATGTATTTACTCTTTGTTTGGGGTTATTTGGTATTGACATATAAATATCATGACTTTTCTGAAATTCTGGGAACTTCAGAAAATCTTTTAGACAAATGCAATTGTGTTAATAATTGGAGAGGATGAGTGGAGTACCATCAGCTGTCTCTTACAGTCCCAACAATGTGATGTCTTTTATTCATAGCTTCCAGTAACAGCCCTGGATATTCCATCACTGGATATTGTAGCTGCTTGATGGGGAAATGTTCAAAATTAGAAAATGTTAGTTGACTGTCTTCTGGATACAGGTAGAAAACAGCATAGAACAGGGAAAGGCTATTCAACCCATCAATCCTTTTCCTTGCACAGACCATGCACAGTCTATTCTATCGTAGCTTTTACCTACTGTATTTAACCTCCTGAGAGAATGTTCTCTGTGACTCCCAAAGGTAATTGAGTGAATTTCCAGCATATGTATCTGTTCCACTTTTCCACTACTCAACCCTGGAGGATTGCATTCCACAAACGGCTTTTGTTTGATTACAGTAGCATTGTAATGTAGTCATGAAAAAATTGACTTATATCTGTTCATAATTTGTCCTATAATTTTGAGGCCATCATAGGATCACATTATATACAGTCAATTCACTTTATAGTATATTTTGTGAAGCGCTTTGAGATGTCTCGAAAGCTTGATGAGGCCTGTATCAAATGCAGCAATTATTATTATGATAAATTTCAATATCATTTCCAGCCTGATTTATTAATCTGGTTTTCTTTCCGAAAGAGTTAATTGATATTGTAATAATTATGCTGGTTTCTGTTTTACATGTCCACTACCCATCCTAACAAAGCTCAATACGTGAAAACAACAGCAAAATTACATTTGTATAGCGCCTTTCACATCGGGAGGATGTCCCAAGGCGCTGGACAGACAGAGTTACGGACCCGAGCTGAGGGTTGGGAGAGGGGAGGGCAGGGGGGGAAGCAGGGAGGTCGAAAGCATGGTCAAAGAGGAAGGTCTTGAGGTGGGTCTTAGAGGTGGCGAAGGAGGGGGCAAGATGGAGGGACTTCGGGATGAAGTTCCAGAGGGTGGGTGCAGAGTGGTGGAAGGCCCGGCCTATAGTGGGGCGAGCAAGTCGGAGGATGTGAAGCAACCCGGAGCCCACTGAGAGGAGGGAGCGAACAGGATGGTAGGAGGTTGGAGAGGTCGGGGGAGCAAGACCGTGAAGGGCTTTGAAGGTGAGGACTAGGATCTTAAACTGTATCCTCTTGAATACTGTTTTAGAATATCCTTTGCTTGTGATATTTTAACATAATAACTGTAAAAATTGTTTCTCTTACAACCTAGGCATGCGAAGTAAATAAAAGAGGAAATAAGTAAAAAAAGCAAAGGGATGTATTTTAAGGAGATAAAACACATTTAAAAGAAATGGCGAGAAATGTTCAGATGTACGGGGATATAGATAAGAATAGATTAAAGCTCTTAGTCAAAGGTCAAGTCAACTCACATGTTATAACTTATGGGGCAAGTCATTAATGTTAATAAGATTGGCAATCACACACTGCGAATCCCTCTTTAGTTACCGCAAGTGTCACATTTACGGCCCTTTTTATATTACAAAAGCAATGAGACATTGCTTCCAGACAGTTGTAGAGTAATGCAAGGGGGCTGCCCAGATTTATACTTCTCATCTGTGCCCCTCAACTTTGCAATTGATTCAATAATTCCCACATGTGTCCAGACTCAGGCATCAATGTGGTGATGTGAGTATGTGGGAAAATATACACACAAAATTTTTTTTTTCATATCTGTCATGACATCAACAGCGGGGGCGAGAGCAGAGGTTGAAATTAATATTATGCTACGACTGTGTGCATTTGACATGCCTCAGAAATCAATGCCTGGTGCAACGCACATCAACGGAAAGCCTTATAATGTAACCACAAACCATGCTTTTTAATTGTTTCAGGCAAAATATTAAGAAGAGTATTGAGAAATTGAGAAAGGCTCTGGGTAATTTGTGGCAAGAACAAAGCATCAATAAAGAAGTAGCAATAAATGTTTTTATGAATGCATAACCTCAAGCAACCTTACTGTTCAGGCATAATCACTTTAACAACTGATTTAACAAATTCTATGGCATAACTTGCATGTCTTTGGAACGTCAGTATGGCCTGTTACGATGGTACGTTTGCTTCCCTCTGTTTGATGGCTCTGAGGTGCCTTTTCTATGTTGATTTGTTTCATTCAGAAAGTACATTATTATTACTTTTGTAAATAAATGGCCAATGTAATTAAATCCCATCAATGCAATTGACTGTTGCAAAGCTGGTTAAGATGTGCATGAGGCAATAGAGCGAGCCAAAACTAAGTTCGAACACAAAACTGCAGACACTGCAAGTGTTGAATCTCGATGAATTCTCCAAACTGAACCTTCAAATTTGTGGAGTCCTGTAGCTCAGTGGTTAGAGCACTCGCTTTGCAAGTGAGAGACCTGAGTTCAATTCCAGGCAGAGGGCGAAACCTTGGGCAAGTTTCCTTACTCCACACAGAGCCTAATAATAATCCCTCCAAAACCCAAAACAATAATAAATTGGTCATTTTCAATCTACGACTGTTTGTGGGACATTGCTGTACGCAATTGGCTGCTGCGTTCGCCCACAAATATACAGTCAATTCACTTTACGGTGTGTTCTGTGAAGCGCTTTGGGACGTCCTCCCGACGTGAAAAGCGCTATATCAAATGCAAGGATTATAAATTTCTAAATGTATATGGTTTACAATTAAACAGTATGTATAATATACTTAGGCTAGCTGA